TTTGAAAAAAAAAAAAAAAAAAAAAAAAAAGCAAAGAAAGAATTATTAATTATAATTGTCGCAGTGCTATGCAAATGGAATATGCGGTGGAATGGCGTACTGTCAACCGGTACAAATGGCGCAATCAGTAATTTGCAATTGTCCGCCGTCATATGATTGCGGACAGTACGGCTGCTATAAGTTACGTGCACGTGCGTCAAAAAATTTAATGTTATCAATGCTTGATAATGATAATCAATGGTCAAAAAGACCACAATCAATGTTAGAGAGTAAAATGCATGACTCATCGCCATTACTCATACCATTTAATCAATTTAAATATAGGTATGATAGTAATATTTCTTTTTAAATATTTTTTTCATCCTAAAATTTATTTTTCTTTTTGTTTTTTTGAAAATATTATTTTAAGAAAAAAATAATTTTATGAAATTTTATTTTTTTTTAAAAATATTTTATTCAAAAATATTTAAATGAATTTTTTTTTTTTTTTAAAAGTAACTTAATGAATAAATTAATTTTTAGAAATAGCAAACCATTAAGAGCATTAGATGAGCGACGTGTGCTTGCAATGGCATCGCCAACAGCTGCTGAATTACCAATTAAAGGACGAACATTTCAGGTTGATTATTTTTCATTTTTTATTTAAATTAATTTAAATTAGAACATTCCAGGTTAATTATTTTCATTTCTTATTTAAATTAATTTAAATTGGAACATTTCAGATTAATTATTTTTCATTTCTTATTTAAAATATTTTAAATTAGAACATTTCAGGTTAATTATTTTCATTTCTTATTTAAATTAATTTAAATTTGAACACTTCAGATTAATTATTTTTCACTTCTTATTTAGATATCTAAATTAATTTAAATTTTAATAGATTATTTCAATGATTTTTTTTTTTTTTGTTTTTAAAATGCAAAAGATTTGATATTATTTGAATCATAAATTATGCTTAATTTTTCTTTTATATTTAAAGAAAAAATCACTTTAATTTTGATAAAAATAATATTGTGTTTATGTTTTAAAAATTTTTTTCTAATTTCATTTTTAGCATGCATATAGCATTTTAAAAGAGAATAATTTAAATTTTTAAAATTTATCACTAATTTATGTAAAATTAACTTATAATCATGAATAGTAAATCAATGTATAATCCAAATTTCAATCATTATTTTACATTATTACTAATTTAAGTACGAAAATAAATTTAAAAAATAAAATAAACAACATTTTTCTTTTTTTTTAGAAAAAAATCAGACAAAATTAAGAATTGTAAAATTTTATAGTATTAATTGTTAAATGTAAAATATGCAATTTTGTTGTTTTAAAAGGAAGCAAATTTTATAATTATTAAAAATTACTTAAAATTTAAATAATTTCAAGCATTTTCAACTTTTAAAACTATTTATTATGACTGTAGAGGATTTTAATTTCAAATACTGTTTACAACAAATGCAATAATTAGCATAAAGAATTAATTAATTATACATGAAAACATATTTGTGTGCATATAATACATCATAATTATACTTTATAAATTCGCATAAACAAGTTTGTAAATTTTTAATTTAAATATAAATTTCAAACTTTTTCTTTTTTCAAAAAAAAAATAAAAATAAAAATTTCAGGATCCAAATGAAGCATTTTTGGAGTGTTGCATGGATCGGAAATTGCCAGATGCTTGTCTTAATAAATGCAATTTTAATTATTACAATCAACAATCTGTATCTTTTCATATTTTCATTTAACTTTTTTTTTTTTAAAAAAAAAAAAAAAAACTTAAAAAACAAAAAATAGAAAAAAAAATTTTTTTTTCATTTATTTTGCGAAATATTTTTATTATATTATAATCAAACAAAAAAGAGGAAAAAAAAACTAGAAATTTTATAAAACTACAATTGAGTAAAAATTTTTGTTCTTTTTTTTTCTTTTGAAAAAAAGATTAAAAATAGAAATTTTTAAAAATTCAAACAATTTTATTTTCTTTCTTTTTATTCATATTTTAGCCAAAAAAAAAACAAATTTTTTTTTTTAATTTTTATTTTGTAAAATAGTATTATTTGATAGAATCATTTGGTAATCGTTGACAATCTTTAAGACTTTAATGATGATGTAATTGTCATGTTTTGAAAAGATATTACAAATGCGCCGATATGAGATGCTTCATTTGACATAAATCCACTTTCTGTCCTTCTCTTCTTTTTTCTTCTTACCAACAAAATTTAAAAATTCAAAAATTTATATTTAACAAATATTTAATCTCTATTATATAAATATATTTATTTATTATAAAATGACAATTGCTATAGCATTTAAAGAATAAAATTAATGATTGTAAATTTTTATATATTTCAGTTAATGTTAATGTATTTGCATCAAGATTCATGTCCCATAAAAGCAATGAGAGAGATGCAATTTTGCGCTGCGCAAGGTCGTGATCATCGACCATGCTGCTTGCGGAACGGCATAACGACAACATTAGCTGGCGCAAAATGTCTCACATTTTGTGATCAAAGGCCTGGTAAAGCACTAGTTTTTTTTTTTCTTTTTTTTTAAGCATAAATTTTTAAAGTGAATAAATTGAAAATATTCAACTTAATTATACAGTAAAAATTTTTTTGCTCCTTTTAATTTTTCATTACTAAATTTTTAATTATTTTTATTTCATACATTAATACTTTCAGCATTCAAATCACTTGTAAAAACCAAAAAAAAAAAAAAAGACTTATTAATTAATTATTAAATTAATATATAAAGCATATTAGAAATGAATGAAAATGCTAATGGATGATCGAGTAATTTAAATTTAAATTAAAGCAAAAATTGCCTATCTAATTTGAAGATTTTTCGCAATATATCAAATTAATCTGCTTTGAAATTTCATTTCAAAAAAAAAAAAAAAAAATGAAATATAATAAATAAATTGAAGATTTGAAAATTTTCAATATAACATTTTTAATAAAGTTAATATTTTGTTTTTAATTATCAAATATATAAGTATAAATTGCTGAAAATAACAAAAAAAGATTATTTATATTTTTTATTAAATAATCTAAGTGTATCTTATTTGTTTACCACTGTAGCAAATTTATTAGATTGGTAGAACAAAATATTATTTTTAAATAATTTTAAAAACTTGTTGCAAATTTTGTTTTTTATATATTTTTTAATAATTTTATATCATTTTATAATTTAGTTTTTTTCTTTTACCTTAAAAGTTACAGCAATCAAAGTGCTCTATCGATCAGTTCTTTTTATTTACTTTTTAATTTTAATTGTTTGTTTTAGGTCAAATAACACAATTGGATATATCATTTCTTCCATGCTTCGACCGTTTTGAAAATATGAAATCATGTTTTTGGCATGATCTCATCCGATACTTTCGGTGATTTTGATCTGATAAACAAAAATACATATGTACAAATAAATTGACAATGATGAAAATATGAGATTTTCAAATTTTTAACTTTCAAATAAATTTTTTTTAATTAATTAAATTCATTTGCATTCAGTGTAATCCATCGTTTATTTTAATTGGAAAAACATGTTATTTTCAAATTTTCAACTCTTAAAATTAATTTTTTAATTAATTGATTCCAATTTGCAATTAGTATTAATTTATGAGTTCTTATCCATCTTGTTTAGATTAAATTAATACAGTAATTAATTATGATAATTTGTAAAATGTACGTATGTGTTAATGAAAATAAATAACAGTGCAAATATGCTCAGTTTTTATTGATTTGAATGTTTTAATACAAAATAAAAATTTAATTACTTATTATTAATGAATGAATTATGTGTTAATAAATTATGATAAAATTATTGAAAGATTTCATTTTTTACACATTTTTTTTTTCTACGTTTTTACTTTTTTCTTTATTGCAATGCACTGTTTTGTGTTATTGTAAGTATTAAATTTCAATAATAATTAGTAAATATTAATTTACTTTTTCTCTATACTTTATAAGAAAAGAAAAAAAAAAAAGATTTCTTTTTTTAAAACTTTTGTCTGTATTTGTAGCTTTTATTTAGATATAATTGCTGTTTAATAATTTTTGAACTGAATTTTGAAGCGACTTTTTCCAATGGCATATTTTTAAATCCCATCAATTTACCTTTCAAATTTAAATTTGAAAATTTGATAAGTAAATTTTAGCATAAATTTGAAAATTTTTGTGATAAAATTTTGCTAAAATTAAATAAAAAATTAAAATTTTTTTTTTTTGCTTTTTACAAATTAATTTTTTTGTTCTTTTTGCTGCATTGAAAGAAAAAACTTTCCTTTTACTGCTATAAGTTTTAAATTAATAAAACTCATATCATTTTTTTCACATTCAAATACAAACATATATAAAAACATTTTATTGTATGTATAGTAAAATAACTTTAATTTTTAATAAATATTAAGTTTCAAAAAAAAAAAAACAAATATTATGATGGAAAGTTTGATAAATAAATATTATGATAAAGTTAAATGATAAATGAAATGATGTGAGAATATTTTTCGTATTTTAGAAAAAAAAAATTTTTTTTAAAAATTGAAAATAACAATTGAAATGAAATGAAATGTATGAAAAGATAAGAAAATAAAAGGAAAGAAAGAAAGAAAAGAAAATGAAAAAGCAATAAATATTTGAGCATTTTTAAAAACTTTTTTCATCTTCCAAGCAAATCTCTCTCTCTCTCTCTCCTTCCCTCTCTTCCTCTCTCACATATTTATATTTACATAACACTCAAAACATTTTGTTTGTCTTTTAATGAATCAATGCTTTTAACTGGCCCACAACTATTCCAATTTCACCAATTTTTGATTTTGTTTGTCTTTTTTTTTGTCCTCTCTCTCTCTCTCTCTCCCTTTTTCCCTTTCCACCTCTCTTTTCAATACTGATCCCTTCTAGTACTACCCATATTCTCATTCCGCTGCGTTATTTATCCTTATCCATCCATCCTCCATTTATTTCATCCACCCAACCAACCATCCATCTATCCATTATTCATTCATTCATCCATCCATCTATCCATTTATCCGTCCATCCGTCCGTCCACTCTTGCATCTGACCGTTCGTCCATCCGTCCGTCCGACCGTCCATCCGTTGTCTGTCCATTCTTGCATTTATTCGTTCGTCCATCCGTCCACCCTTGCATCCATTCATTCGCTTACCAATCCATCCCCGTCCATCCGCCGTCACACCACTCCGTCCATCTTCCCATTTCATCCGCCGGTCCATCCATTCTGCATTCATCTATCCGTCCACCATTCCGTATGTCCGCCCGTCTAGCAATTTACCTATCCGTTCATCCATCCATCTGTCTATCCGTTTATCCATACCTTCCGTCCACCTACCAACCCTCCATCATCCATCCGTCCACAAATCCGCTTATCCGTCTACCAATTTGTCCATCCATCCATTAATCCGTCAGTCAGTTCGTTACCTCAAACCGTTTCTCACTCATCATCAGATCTATCTTTTTATCAAAAACTTTTCAAAAAATCAAAACAAAACTTTTTCAAAAAAAAAAGAGAAAAAAAAAAAAAATGATTGAACGAAAATAACAAACACTCTTTTATTACCTTTTGTTCATAATAATTTTCTTTCAAAGAAAACAAAAGAAATATAAAAAGTTTTATTTTTTGTTTGTTTTTCTTTTTCGCATCAATTGCTCATATCATTCATAAATTCTAAAACAAAACGCATTATTCAGTTGTTTTTCTTCAATTTTTTTTTTTTTTTTTTTCATTCTTCTTTTTTTTGCTTATTTTTTGTTCAAAAAATACAAACTTTTTTGTGTTTTGTTTTTTTATTTTTCTAAAAATAAAAGAAAAAAACCTAAAAAACTATAAAATTTAATTACTAAAATTTTCTTTTTGATTTGTCTAATTTCTTTTCTTTTTTTTTTTTTTGCTGCTTTTAATTAAAAATTGATATTTCATATATGGATTTTTTTTTCTAATTGCTATCATTCAGTTAGAAAAATTATTAATTGAAAAATTTGTAATTTATCAAAAATCACTCAAATTATGATAGTATTTTTGATGCATTTCGTTTATTCATTATTTTTCATTGATTAATTTGCTCAATTTATTCAAAAATTTCCAATTCATTTCTCATTTCTTTTCGTTTTCGTTTTTTCTTTTCTTTTTTTTTTTTTTTTTTTTCAGCTATTAATCGAAAAATGATATTTCACATTTGGTTTTGTTGGATTTCTATTATTCAAATAATCAAATCAAAATTTATAATTTATCATAAATTATCAAAAATCTGACAATAATTTCGATGCATTTTGCTTATTTCTTATTTTTGCTAACATCTCTAATACTATCATCAAATTGTAACAATTCAACAATCTATGAAACAAAATATAATGAACCATTGGAACGACGCGATGTACCTTTGACCTATCGATTACATAGCGATTTGTTAAAGTATTATAAGAAAGGTACACGACCGGTGATACATCCAAATAAAATTATCAGTGTTACAATGAGTGTTTTCTTATATCAAATTATTAAATTGGTAATTATTTCAATTTATTAATTAATTCAATTTTTTTCTTTTTAATTAACTTTCTTTCTTCCAAAATTAAAAAATATATGTATATATATATTCAAATTTTAAATTTGTTTATAATCAAATCAAACTTTACAAAGAAATAAAGAAAAAAATTGATATAATTTTTAAATTTTAAAAGAAGAAAAAAAAAGTGAAAAAAATGATTTATTTTATTTACATAAATAAGCAAGCAAAAAAGAAAATAAGAAAATGAAATTATGACAAAAACCTTTTTTTTTTTAAATTTACAAATTTATTAAAAAATATTTTTTTGTTTATATTCAAAAAAAAAAAAGAAGAAAAGAAAAACAAACACTTATTTTGCTTAGAATATAATAGCTTATTTCATTAAAGCTATTTTCAAATTAAAATTATATCATTGTTAAAATAGATATTATTATTAATCATAAAATTATTAATCATTAATTTTACAATATCAGTTTTTTGAATTCCATAAATGATAATAACATTATTAAATCTTAATTCCTGTTTATTTTTTTTTTGGATCATCCAGAAATTTTTCATAAAATTTAAAATTTTTTCTTGTCAGGTAAAAGAAAAAAAGTAAATACATTTTAGGATGCTGTGAAGAATACCATCAGTTTATCAGGTAGTTTCGAAATGGTAAGTAGGATTTATTAACTTTTATTATTTTCTTTCCATTTCACTTTTTTTTTTTTTCAATATTCCATTAAATAATCTTTTGTCCTTCGATATCGTTTGATCCATTTCCGGATAGTACCATTTGAATATTCCATATATGTTTTTTCCACTAATATATTCCAATTTTTTAGTTTGAAAAGTCGTCGTGACTACATGAAAAAAAAAAAAAAAAAAATTATTTGTCTTTTTATGTTTTAAAATTAGATTTTCTTTCAAAATATTTAAAAAATTTTTTCATTTTATATAACTATCGATTTATTCCATACGAATAAATTTTTTTTCATTACAATTCTAAATTTTTGTATTAAAATCTAATGGTATTAGCAATTGAAAATTTTTAAAAAATATTTTAAACGAATCTTTTCTTATCGAACAAAATATTTTAATTGAGCATAAGCTAAACATTTTTCAAAAAAAAAACTAACTTTCAATTACTACATTAGTTAATTTTAGCAGTAGTTCAAAAATTTTTTTTCATTGTTTTAAAGCTCTCGGGAATATATCAGAAAGCATCTATACGCATATAAAATAAACATTTGCATATTTAAATATGCTACTATCTTTTTCAATTATTTTTTTTTTTTTTTAACGCAAATTCATGCTAGCATAAAATATGCAAGCAATTTCAAAATAGGCAAAAAAAAAAGAAATGAAATTGGTACTTTTTGCGGAACAAAAATTTTTGAATTTAAGGTGGAAAAGAGATGTCAAAATAAAAAGGAAAAAAAAAAGATAAAATTGTTACGTTTTTTAAGAGATAATGAATAGCTGCCGGAGTTGCACGCTTATATTTTAAAGTGAGCAAAATTTCACCATTTCGTAGCATTCCTTCTTCAATTGTTATTATGCCTTCAATGATAATAATGATAATAATAATAATAATAATAGTAATAATTAATAATAATGGTAGTAGTAATAATTAATAATAGTAATAATATTGATAACCATTGTTGGTAATAATGATGATAACTATTGTTGGTAGGGTTGGTAATAATAATAATAATAATAGTAATAGTAATAATAATAAATGGTAGATGGAAAGATGCATAAAAATATTAGTTTCAATTTAAATGTAATATTGAATAAAAACTAGTGAAAACAACAGAAAATTTATTCAATTATAATTTTTTTGTTTAAGGTAACGAATATTAAGTATTAGTATTAAGTAAATAGAAATTTTAATATGGAAATAATTAAAGTTAATGAAAAAAACAAAGTATTATTAATGGATTTAAACATTAACTAAAGTAGCCATAGATACCCTTAACTGAATTTATAATTTAGTTAGAAGAGTAATATCAAAGCTGAAATTAAGTTTTATTAGTGAATTCAAAAGGAATTATTACCAGAATTATATTTTTTATATTAATGGCTTTAAATGATCGAATAGCTCAATTCAATTCAATCACTTCATTCACTAAATATAATAACAGAAGAATAGAGTGAATTTTCGATTCAAAAATTGTCAATGAGTAAATTATTCCTTTTCTTATTCTTATTACAATGTTTACTTTCTTGACTTTCTGATTTCCCTTTTCATCTATTATCTAAATTTAATAAAAATTACAATGATTACAAATTGATATATAACTAAAAATTATAACCTTATTTTTGCAAATTTAGCAATCAAAATTGTAAACACAATTATCAATTCCATTTTATTTAGCGAAATTATTTAAAAATAATATTATTTAGACTTTAATTTGACATAAGAAATTAAAAATTTTTTCCTTTCTCCCTCTCTTTTTTTGCTTTTAAAATATTTTGTTGTATCCTTTTTCATAATTCAGTTGAAATTCAATTTCTTTTATATCCCATGGGATAAAGTTAGTTTTACATTTTGAAAACATTGTTTTTGCTTTATAAGCAATTCCATATTTTTTGTAAATATTTCAAATATGGTATAAAAAAAAAATAATAAAAAGCACAAATCTAAAAAACGAATATAAGTTTACTTTGCATAAAATAATAATTGCTTATTTTCATGAATTATAAATATAATATAAGAAATGAAAGAGCATTTAAGTTTTTAAATATGATAAAGAAAATGAAAAAATTATTTCTAAATTATAAATACATTGTAGGAGACGGAAAACTGTTCAAATTGCAGATGTTATATAAGAAATGAAAAAGTAGAAATTCATATCATATAAAGTTTTTATGTTGAAAATTATTTTGGAGCAATGACCAGTACCTGTGTTACTGACCATTTCAATAGCAATTTGATCATTTCCGTTTAATGACTTATTGTATTCTTGAAATCCAGTTAATTCACGGAATGGTTTTCCAGTCATGAAGCCAACTTCATTGTATTCTGATCCTTCCTTAGTATATGCTCGAATGCTAAACAAATTTTCGTCTTTTTTTTTTTTTTGTAGTTTCCTGTAAATGCCTAATAGCTAATAGAAACAAAATTTTTTTGATTAGATACTGTAATGCGAAAGCTATAAATTGAGGGTTGGTTACTGTAGCGAAAATGAGATACTGTAATGGAAGTTTTATATTTCAAAATGCAAGTAATTTTTTTTTTTATTTTTTTTTTTCATAGTTTCTTATAGGTGTTAAATAGTAACTAGAAAAAAATTTCAATCTTCATAAAATTTTGTAATGCGAAAGCTATAAATTAAAAAGTTAGTACTGTAATGAAGTAGAGATACTGTAATGTTTTAGAAAGAAAAATGTTATACCGTAGTGCAAACGTTTTATATGGGTTTTTTTTTCATAAAAATTTTATAAAAATGAATGTTTTTTTTTTCCTTTCAATTAAGAAAAACATATGCACAAAATATTTCAAAAAAAAACACCAACAAAACATTAACTGGTGGACGATCGAACATTGGTACATCGGTAAGTGAAATATCCAAGATTTCCTTGTATGGATGCTCAAATGATATCGGGAATCGGTCACCGGCTAACGTTTCCGTTTCCCATCGACCAATTATCCATGATATTGGTTCAAGAATAGGCGGTAATGGTATCTTCAATGCTAAAATTATCATATAGTTTCAAGCAAATTTATTAATTAATGTCAATAAGAGTGGACACTGTAATGTCAAAGCTTTAAATTGAATAACTTTTTTTTTTCCTTGCAAAATATTTCCTTAAAAAAAAAAAAAATGTGAAGTTAATATTATTTATTGATGGTGCCAAATCATTAGTAACTAATAATATTTGATAAACATTCAAAGTATGTTTGAAAATAAAATAATGTTTAGGTCGAATGTACTAAAAATTATTCAATAAGATTTTCAATTATTTCAAATAAATAATTATGAGAATATATATAAATCAAATTTTATTATGCTTATTTTGTCTTTTAAATTTTAATATTAAATAGATATATAATCCAAATTTGTCTGTTCTTTTTATAGAAAAAACAATAATTTAATGTCAATTACTTAGTAACATTTCATCTCGCATCTTCCGTAAATAAAGTTATGGAAAATATGAAATTTTTTAAAACAATTTAACATTATAAAAATATATGATAATATAAAATACATTAATAATTGATGGAAGGTATTGAGTTGACATTGTTTTGAACATTCTGCTGATTTCATTACAAATTAGGTCAAAATGTGTTAAGTAATAATGGATCGTATAAAAAAACGACGTTCTTTTTTTCTTTCTTTTCTCAAATATTTTTTATTAAATTTCCTGTTGTGTCTACTTTTCCTTTTTTCTTCTTCTTCAGATATTTGAAAGTTGCTAAATAAATTTGCAAAAAAAAAAAAAAAGAAAAAAATCGATAGAAAAAATAGTAATGTATTATTCTAAAAATATAAAACATAAATTCTTATTTATATTTATTACTGAATCGAAAAATGAATATTTTTAGTGCTAGAAGTTATAAATTTAATTAATTAACATAAATTTCTTTACTTATATAGTTTAAAATGGTAATTATAACACAAGTAGTCATAGTACTTCGAATTTCTGATTCCATATGATAATAAGAAATCATTTTACAGCTATTTACAGGTTGATAAATTTCAATTCATAAATGATAATAGTATTTCTCAACTAGTAATCATAGTTTAAAACAATAATAATAATTCTTTTTAAGTATAATGACTAAATGATGATTTTATAGTATGTAACAAAATATAAAATATTCATATCAAAATTTGATTAAATAAATAAATTCATTTTAAAATGATATTAAAAAGAAAGAAAAGGCAATCAGATGATAAATACTGCTAAACTTTCTGATTCAAAAGTTGGTAAACATCGAGAATAATTTTTTTTTTCTTCTTTTATAAGTGATATCGTTTAAGTAAACAATTTATAAAAGTTTTTCCTACTTTAACATATTTTAATAAAAATTTAAATAAGAACTTCGGTTCTTTCAATAGTTTATTTAAATTATTCATTTTTTAATAAATCTACAAAAAAAAAAAAAAAAAAAAAAAATGTTAAACAGAATTTCAGGAATGTTAGATATTATTATATTACTAAATATTATTACAAAAAAAAAAAAAAAAAAAAAAAAAAACGAAAAAAACGAAAAAGAAATTAGTGAAATGTTATTAAAAAGAGATGAAACTAAAGTTTTTTTTTTTTAAAAAAAATGAAACTAACATTGGCCATTATTTTGGCATAAGCCACAACTTTCCGCGCAATTATCTTCAAAAAATGGCAAAATTGGCTTAGCCCAATGACATCGTTCTTCTTCTTTCCAACGTTTACATGACTTATAAATATCTTGACAGGGTCCTAAAAATTTAAAAATTCTTTTTTCAAATTAGAAATTAATTTTTTTTTTTTTTTGGATGAAAAATTTAATTTGAGTTCTGATATTCTTTTTTTGTTTTGTTTTTTATTTTGTTATATTTCCATGCAATTTTAACTTATTTCTTTTATGATACATTCATTTCTGAAAGTTGTAAATTTATTTGAAATTGAATTGGAAAGTTTGTTCTAAGTATTAAATATGCTTTAAACATTGTACAAAACAGTTCAAATTCCACTTACTGCGGCACATAATACCCATACGACCGGTTTGACAACGACACCGATTACCGGTTAAATGTCGCATGCATTTTCCTTCCAAACCGCAAGCATTTGGTATTGATGGATCACAAAAATGTACTACTAGAAAAAAAAAAAAAAAAAGAAAAGAAATTAAAAAAATTTGCTTTTAAAATTTTAAGCAAACTCAAATAATTTATATTTGAGTAATGAATGAAATTTATCAATGCAAAAATTTTGATAAATGCAATCAAATATGACAAATTTCTTATAATTTAATATTAAAAATAGACGAAAATTTCATACCGTAAAACATTTCAACAATTTATTAATTAAACATTTTAAAACTTAATAAAAACATAAAAACTCACAAAAAAAAAAAATTGAATGATTATAACTTTTTATGAAATGAAATTATTCATAAATAAAAAAGTTAAAAAATTACAACGAATTAAAATATTAGTTTGGAGAGTAAAGTAATTTTTCTAAAATTTTAACCAATAATTTTTATAATTTATAAATAAAAATATTTTGCATTGTTAGTATAAAATGTTTTCTTTTTTTTTTTTTTTTCAGTCATTAAAATTTTGTTATATTTGATTGTCATTTGATCGTTGGCTGTTTTTTCTTTTTTTTTTTTTTTTTTTTTTGATTATAATTCAATAAATGCAATATTTGGTTTTATTACTCTCAAAAATGTGGAAATTTACATTTTAAATTATTTTATTTACTTTTCTTTTTCTATGAAAAAGAAAACAATAATTAATATTAATTAATAGAAAATTGATGAAACATAATTAATTGGAAAAGATTACTTTAGATGATTGATTGAAATACTTATAAATTTATGTGAAGAATTTACTTTATAATTTAATAACTTACTTACCTTCTTGTTCTAATTGTGTTGGTTGTGCTAATATTTGATCGAAATAATTGATTGTAATTATAATAAGAAATGTTTGATACATTAACTTCTTAAATCTGCAATATTACTTAAAATAATTTCAATTGTTGAAATTAATTACAATTTCAAATTTTAATTCTCAACAATATGTTTATTATTTTAATCAAAAAAAAAAGCAAATAAAATCAAATAATATTATTTCATTTTATTGATTATAGATGAATTTTATGAAATATTAAATTATAAATAGAAATTTGCATAAATGGAAAGTTTTCTCTTTCATTTGAAATACATTAAAATTGAATGCGTTTGATAATTATTTAATTTCCAATAAAAAATTTGATCGTTAGAATTTTAAAATTATTTATTCTTTTTTTTTTTTTGTGAGTGACAACTTTTGATAATCAAAAGATTTTAAAGTAAACTTTGTTAAGTCAAAGAAAGCATTAATTAAATGTAAAGTATTAAATTTGAATATGAAAAAAAAAGTGAAATTAAAAAAAAAGCAATGTATTTTTGGGTTTTTTATTTTACAAAATTTATATGAAATCATTTTTTTGACGAAATTTAAAAACGATTGAAATTTGATAAATAAAAAGGAAAAACTTATTTTTATCAGAACTTTTTAATTCCGCCAATTATTTATGAAAAAAAAAAGTTTTTCTTCAAAGTTTCATAAAATGCAAAATAAAAATATTTAGCAAATTATTTAGGAAAATTTAATTACATTTTTAAAAATTTTCAAACTAAAAAGTGCACTGCATATTGTAAGTTTAAAGAGATATGTTTTTCTTTCTTTTTTTTTTTTTTTTAAATTAAATTCTTTTTTAGTGGTACATGCCATCATCATTTCATGGTCCCACCATGACGAACGCTACATTTTGAAAATGAAAATTTTTGATTAATAATGAATTGGAATAAATTGTATAATATAAAGGTTTTTTTTTTTAAATTAAAAAAAAAAGTAAAATCAAAATATTAAATTTATTTTTATAATTTATATCAAATTTAAAATAATTGCAAATGAATGGAAACATTTTTCCACTACTTTTATTGATTTAATTAGTTTTTTTTTTCTTCCGAAAAGAAAAAATTATTGTTTGATAACAAATTTAAGCATCAATTTGCATATCACTTTATCAATAAGGTTTGAAAAATGGAAAAAAAAATTTTTAAAATTAATCGATTTATTTAAAATGCTAATTAGCAATGCCATTATCACCAAATTATCATTATCAATTGACTTAATTATGATTGCATCGAATTAGAAATATTGCTATGATTTACAGTTCAAATTAAAATAACATAAATTGTGATTAATATACAATATAATTGTTGAAATGATGATTATCACGAATAACGATTATTCCTAAATATAATTAATTAAAAATTATCATAAACATTGCATAACTAATGTAAACTGTAATTTATTCTTTAACAGTATAAAGTGGTAGTTATAAAATTCATTAATGTAACATATAATTTGTCATATGAATAAACATTTTACTTCATTTAATAGTGATAATTTAAAAGTGATAAATTCATTTGTTATCAACAATTATTATTTAAGATTAATGCATACATCATGCATTTTCACTATATTATGAAGAGAAAAAAAATTGATAACACTTAGATTATCATGATTATTTTATCACTGATAAGATTAATAACAATTAAAATATAATGATTGTACTAAAAATTTGTAAAATACAAATTATCATGATTATTTCATCATTCATAAGACTTGAATTATTATCATCATTATTCAATAATTAATTAAAATTAGCCATAGCTATTCTAATGTACGATAAGATTTATATTATCATGAGTTTAGCTTAAAATCGATAAGATTTCAATTTATCGTGATTATTCAAGATGATAAGATTTAGATTATCATAATTATTCTCGACTTCATTAAAACATGATGATTTTTAAATGATATACGAAAAGAACTGATAAAAATAACAGACAATGAAATGGATGACATGTGCAAAACGGATGACAATTGTTGTTCGGGAAAGTGAGCGGAAAGGGGGATTCGAAGAGAGAGAGAGAGAGAGAGAGAGAGAGAGAGAGAGAGAGAGAGAGAGAGAGAGAGAGAGAGAGAGAGAGAGAGAGAGAGAGAGAGAGAGAGAGAGGGAATGAGAGAAGAGGAAAGATGAAACGAGAAGGAAGAAGATGGCAGGGAGAGGGAAATAGTTCCTCGGTGATATTTATCGATAAGAAATCTGAAAATGGCAAAGAATAATTAATTTATCTTTCCGCTATCAATGACAACAATAATTGTTTAATTTAATTTTAATTTGAAATTCTTTTTTCTTTTTTTTAAATTTTAAATATAAAATTGTATTATATTTTTAATAATATTTTTCTAATTTTTGCTTTTCTTTTTCCACTTTTTTTTTTTTTTTTGTTAAATTAAAAAGAAAATACTTCAAACTGTTGAAATATTGAAATAGTAATTAATTTTATTTGTGCACATAAAATTGCAAACATAGCAAAAAAGAAGAAAAAAAATCAGTCAAATGAAAAGAATTTGAAGCAAAAATTTATTACGAAAATCATTAATTTAAATTGTATAAAAAATTTTGAAACTAATAAATAAAATAATATTTAATAAAATTAATGAACATTTTATACCACATTATTAATTAATTTTTATATAATAATATTATTAATTAATTCGTCATAATTCAGTTAAAAAAGCTTACTATTAACTTTAACATAACTTTTTTTTTTTTTATTTTTGATAATTTTACTTAAAAAATTTTTTATCTAATTTTATCTCATTGTTTTTGTTTTTGATTTTTTTGTACAATTTTTGCTTTTCATAATTATTGTTAGCATTGATAAAACGCTTTGTTAATTTTTCCTCCTTTTTAATTTTTCAAAATTCAACAAAAAATTCAATTTGCATAACATTTTGCTTAATTCTGTCTTTGTTTTTTCTTATCAAAAATTATAAAATAATTAAAAAAAAAAGCTCTAAAGAATATAACAAATACTTTTTCTCAAAACATTTTCATTAATTGAAAAATGGAAATTATAAATTAATGAATAATATTTTTTTTCTTTTTAAAAAAAAAACAATTGCAAAATAAGTTTTTTTCTTTTCATTTTTTTACAATTTAATTCTCCGTACTATCTGATTTTGTCTGTTATTTGACAAAATTTGTCAAGAAATTTCCCTTAGGCATTTGAATTATTGATTTTTATTTTTTAAATTTCAGTTTGTTTGAAAAAAAAAAAAAACTTTTTTCTTTTGTTTATTTATTATTTCCATCATTTAATTAATGATATCAAAATTATCAGTCTAATGATAATATTTTAGATCAAACAAAGGATTATTAATATTTGAAAATGAAAAATGTTTAAATATTATTATTATTTAATGTTTTTTGAAATTATTTCAAAATTTTAGTACTGGAAAGATGATTTCTTGCAATGGAATCCAAATGATTATGATGGTGCTACCGAAATTTTCCTTTCTTCAAATGATATTTGGATTCCAGAATTTTCCCTTTATTACAGGTAAAATATATTGCAAAAAAATAAATAAGTAAAAAAATTCAATTTTAAATTTAATTCAAATATCAATCAAAATATTCAGTTATAGTTTGAAATGAACTTATTTATTATATACTAATTGCAAAATTTCCAAATAAATTGATTAATTTTTACTCATTTTTTTTTTATCTTTGCTAAATTACAAATCATTTCTTAAATTAAATATTAGTATTAATTAATTAATGAATTAATGATAGCACAAGAATCAAATTACCTGTGCATATTAATTAATATATAGGTGTATATTATAGCAAATATTAATCTATTCAAAAATATTCTTGCAGCAATAAAGAGCAGAATTACACTTTAATCTTTTTTTCTTGTATACAAGTTGTCACACCTGGATCTAATGACAGTTCATTTTATTGTTCATAGCTTAGTACGGAAATTCATGAAATTTGGCATAAAATTTTACTTGACCTTTCTGACCTCTCTCTCTATTTTTAAGATTTCAGATGGAAAACTATTAATGTTATTAGTTCCATAGTATTAAACTATGTTTAAATTAATTTTTTACTGACTAATGTGCAGGATGCTGAATTGCTAATCTTTGAACTTTGAACTGGTTAGCATTGAAGAAAGTTTGAAATTGGAAATTCGGATTGAAAGTTTTTATAATATGCTGGAAATTCTATGTGATCACAGAATCCTATGAAACTCTTTGAAAACACTAAAAGCACTTCGCATATATCAAAGTTCAAAGTTCATCATTTATCATAAAATTATCAAATATTTCTTTCATGTACGACTGAATCTTTAATTTCCAATTGCATCTTATCATGTCAACCGTTTCAGCTTTTTCAACCTTTCCTGTTGCTAAAAAGCTTTGCAAATGTCACACTTTATCCTTAGTCGCATTCCTGATATCCTAACAAACTTGAATGATAATAACGAACTTATAAGCTTCATCTGATCACCTTTAAAGGTCAAAGTTGTCCCTTTGCTAACTCTAAAGGTCATCACAAAGCTAATAATTTCATTCTTCTTATCAGCACACTTTGTCTAATCTTTCAATTAAGAGTTATCTGATTTGATAGATTTCACCAACGATATATACTGCTATCAGTATAATTCATAAATATTAATATTCACAACAAAGAATTGATTACATTTTGATTACTTTTTTTGCTCAATCAAAATTAATTTTAATTATTGATTTTAATTAATACAAAAAACACATACAAATATAATTATTCACTATGAGTTATAATCATTTATCACAAGTTTATAATATGTATTCATACAATTCTGATCATATATTAGTATCAGAATTTCAAATATATTGTCAAATTAAATTAAAATTTTTTAACTAATTCTACAACTTGAAATTAGCAAAAAAAAAAAAGAAAGAAAAATTAGTTTTAAATTAAAATTGCAGCCATCATTTTAATCAAGCAGTAAAATTATTGAGCAATAATGATGTCCGTGTTAATTATACCGGAAATGTTCGCTATTATTTGCCTTATTCAACCGAATCATTATGCAAATTGGATGTTA